TATTCAGGAATTATTGGTTGTGGTGGTGCTGTGCATAGGCCAGCCATTTAGGAGTGTGTGTGTGTAAAGAGTAGCAGGCAATGTGGGTCATCTCCCAATGAATGGATGCTGGTTTCCACCCTTTGGGGCCAATCAGATCTGGGCAGATTGCCCAAGTGACATTGTTGCGAAGGCTTTGCCTCCACTGCCCTTGTCATTTTTATGACAAGAGAACAATATCCAAGCCAAAAACATCTCTGAGTAAATATTACAAGTGGCTCAGTTTGCTTTATGACTTCCTGCAGAGGTGCTGTGGCTGGAAAATACTTTTCTTGCTGCTATGACTTATAGTAAAGAGGGAAGGCAGCAAAGTCCCAGGACTTAACTAATTGTTTTACTCATTGTAAATGCTGCACATAGACATACATGTACCCAAGGGAACTTTGTTCAGAAAGAGGAATAGCATTTTCCAAGCTGGTCTACTTTTCTGCTTACTCCGCAATGGGTGGATAACATTTTAATGATTGAAAAGACCCTTTTGAGTGCTCAGTGGAAGATGGAACACAGCAAGCTTCAACTGGTCCAGAATGCAGTGGCATGAGCAATGATGGGCATTCCTTCTCCATTTGCTTCCAGGAGCCATTCAAAGTGTGGGTTGTTAGGTATGAAGCCCTATATAGCATTGAGTCTTACTTGAGGAACCACCTGTCTCCCATAGTATACTCCTAGGCAGTTTGAAATAGTAAGCTGGTGCACTCCAGGTTCCTTCAATTAAACCATGTCATCTATCATGACTCTTGAAACATGGTTTTTCTTTCACAGCACCTTCCCACCTGGAATGAGGTCCCTCCTTAAGATGTGAATGATCCTCTCACTTTGCTGGTGTTTTGAAGGGGCCTGAAGATATGGTTCTTCACCCAGACCTTTGGTGAAGATGTCTGAAACCTCTTTTTAACTTAGATTGCTTTCTTCTGTTTCCGCTTTATTGCTATTCTGTGATCTCCATTAGCTATATTGTCTTGTTTTCATGTTTTAAACCATCTGTATGCTGAGAGTCAAGTGGCATATAAATTTAAATAAAAATGCAGCAGAAGAGAAGAGAAAGAACTGGGGGGAAATCCACAAAATACAGAGGTCTGCAAATAGAAACAGATTGACTGTGGCAAAAGAAAGCAAAGACAGTACAATAATAGGCATGTTTTAGGATGCAATGCTAAAACATCTGGAACATTATTTGAATACCATTGGCACTGACAAAATTCAAGATCAGTTAATTGCAAAAGGCAGCTTAGTTGGAACTACTTACAGCCTGCAATTACACTATACCTTTAGAAGTTTCAAACAACATCTGCCTATCTCAGATCTTTGGGAAAGACTTGATAGGTGAACAAAAATGCCAAATTCAATCTAAACATCTGGCTGTCAGAGCAATGAATCAAATAAGGATAATGCATTGCCACCTTCAAGCTGACAGAGAAAATAAGAGAGCAAGCAGATCTATTGTTTTGAGTTGTAAGGCCGAGGGCCCTAAAAGAATCTGATTCTCCAAGGAAACTATTTATGTTAATTTGACATGCCAACTTCATTAATTAACTTATGAATGTTAATCTGATGCTTGTTGCCACCCTTGTAGCCTTGGATTATTAGTATGGAATTATTCTAAATTCAAGTTTGGTGGTAACCTGTTCTGACCCCCTCCTCCATCCAGTAACGAATGCCGAGACAAGCTTAACTGGAATTTCACAGCACTTTATTAACAGGAAACATAAATCTCAGTGGCTGAAAGCCCAAACATAAACAAACAGATCAGAACCTTGGCAGCAACTCAGACATCGACAGAGACATATAACAGCTTCTCCAGAATTAAGAATGAAGTTGAATCCTGCAAATCAGACTCCTCCACGAGTCCCTCCTTAAATACAATCTTGAGAGGAGCCTAATTACAACCAGCTGGATCCAATTATCTTTTGTAACTGCGTAGCTGTTTTCTCCGTCGATCTGCCCAGTGTTGCCGGGCAACCAGGACCACCTCCCTTGTCTTCTCGTCACTACTCCAAGGCCTGATGTCATGAGCACACTCCCTTTGGCTCTCACCGCTGCTCCATGCCTCAGGCGCCTCCTGGTGGCCAACCAGCATCTCTGTGCCTTGCTCAGAGTCGGAACCNAAAAGACAGAGGGAGCCATTAGAACTATAATCATGGTTAAAGTAATAAAGCATGCATGTATAACAGAAGGGAAGGGAGTATTAAATGCCTTATGGCTCTTTTCCCTAGATATACAGAACATTTCATATTTGGGCATATCAGGGGTTGTGACTTTAAATATAAACATTTCAATACTCTCCACATCCATTCAAAAGGAAATAAGAAGCAGTGAATTGTACCCAAGTCTGAGAAAGGATTTGCAAATAAAGAATGTATATTTGTTTCTCACAGAACCATAGGTTTAATCGGGACTATTTAGATCATCAGGGCCAAACTCTGTTTCATGCAGATATTCAAATTAAAGCATTGCTAACAAAGATCTATCCAGCTTCTGCTTGAAGATACACATTTGTAGGAATTAAAACATCTCTTAGATAATTATTTCCATTGTTAAACTCTTAGGACATTTCTTCCTTTTAACCAGAATCTGGCTTTGGTTACTTAAAACCTTTCTGGGACAGTGCTGTGCTTGAAAGTATGAGAGAGAGACAACATAGCAAAGACTTAAACAGAATTATTGTCAAGTCTGCCATCATATTGCCTAAATCCTGCTTTGCATCCTACCATAAAAGGAGTGAGAGAGGAGGGAGGGGATATAGGAAGGGGGAATGGCAGAAGAGAAGAACCAGAAGAGTCAACCCAGAACAGAGCCTGGCAAACCCAAGTGTGGGAATCGAATGCGAACACCCACCAAAGAATGTTTAGGACTTTAGGACTGCTACCAAAACACTTCCTTTGAACAATATTGGACATTTATGAAAGCACCATGTGGGGAGGGCCCAGGAGAAGAGAACTGGATTCATGTGGGAATATTCAAATCTAGCTTTGCTATGCTTTAATCACTTGGCTTCAGTAAAAGTGATAACTTTCACTACAATTGGAGTTGAGGGTCTTTCTTTCCTAAACATCTAAGCTGAGACAGGACTGACAGTTATCATGTCCCCATTAGCCATATTTTCTAAAGACTAAATCTATGTGGGTCCCTTACTTTGCTCATAGGACTTATTTTCCAGTCCCCTGATAATCCTTCTTTGAATTTGTTTCTGGTGTTTTTAATCTTTATTGGATTCTGGTGCCTAGAATTGGGTACACCATTTTAAAAAGAAATCTGGTAATGTAGGCTAGAGTGGAATTATTATGTCCCTTGAACTGGAAACAATGTATCATTAATATAATCTAAAATTCTGTTGGTTATTTTTGCAGCCATATTGGTTCCTAGTCCAATTTTGATATTTACAATTCTAAAATCTGCTTTATTTACTATATTGTTATGCTTTGTGGTACATATGAAATAAAATATGTATAATTTTGTATCTAATGTTTCTAGTATTATTGTTTTAGAATATTCATTCTGAATACATGCCCTTGTTTGTTTATGGATTTCAGAAATTTTAAATGGCCAAGCTCATATGAAAATTAAAATTAAATGTATCCACCATTTGTAATAAAAAGCATGTTGCACAGGTTTCTTTAAAATAATAATTCAGAACAATTTTCTTTGCTTTAATTTAAGCAGCCCTAAGTTGCTTATTTTCTCTTAGCTGAAAAAAAAATAGAGACTGTTGTGTTAGTTATAATGGATATGCAACTGGGAATAGTCTTGCTAGTTTCAGTGTTGCATAAAATGTTTTAATTGGTTCAATTTCCCAAGGAGAATTCTAAATCTCAGTGTTGAAAAAGCCTTGTGAGCACGTTCCATGGTGACATTTTGTACAGTACTTACTGTGGCTGTTATAATGCATCTCTTCCAGAAACATGTACTGCTACTGAGTGTTTAAATGGTTACCTTGCAGAATGGACAGTGTTAGTTCAGGGAAGGACAATAGTGGCAGATGGTACATGTCCATTATGCAGAAGATCCCATGTTCAATTCACAATGTCCACAAAAGTACCATGTAGCATATAATACAAAATATCCCTGGCTTGAATTCTCAAAAACGGCTACTGATCCAAATAGAACTATTGGGCTGGGTGGAAATGTTCCTATGGATATCAATTTATACTAGATTAATAATCAGAGCACATATTCAGTGACACTGTCTTGAAAGTGGGTCTCTCCCCCACCCTTAGTTCTAAGTTGCTTCTCTCCTTGATTAGTTTCCACCCATCGCTTCTTGTCTTACCTTCAGGTGTCTTGGAGAATAGTTTGACTCCTTCTTTGTGGCAGCCCCTGAGATATTGGAACACTGCTATCATGTCTCCCCTAGTCCTTCTTTTCATTAAACTAGACATACCCAGTTCCTGCAACCGTTCTTCATATGTTTTAGCCTCCAGTCCCCTAATCATCTTTGTTGCTCTTCTCTGGACTTATTCTAGAGTCTCCACATCTTTTCTACATCGTGGTGACCAAAACTGAATGCAGCATTCCAAGGGTGGCCTTACCAAGGCATTATAAAGTGGTATTAACACTTCACGTGATCTTGATTCTATCCCTCTGTTTATGCAGCCTGTGTTGGCTTTTTTGGCAGCTTCTGTACATGGCTGGCTCATATTTAGATATCCACTAGGACTCCAAGATCCCTCTCACAGCTACTGCTATTGAGCCAGTATACCACATATACTGTACCTGTGCATTTTGTTTTTCTTGCCTAAATGTAGAAACTTACTTTTTTCACCATTGAATTTCATTTTGTTAGATCGTACCCAATGTTAGAGTTTATCAAGATCCTATTTAAGATTCATACCTCAATGTTGCACAGTGCTAACATATTTCAGGAAAAGTTGGCTGAGACCTGAAGACCTGTATTTTCAAAGGGTTTTGCCCGTCATTTCTAATCTGATGCTGTACTATTAAACTAAAGTACATGCATGTTTTTGTTTTTATAGTAAAGATGTCTTTATTCCAAAATAATAATGTGTTAGCCAGACAACTACATACAAAACATCTACACAAGACTTTGGTAGGAAATATATCCATAACAGTTTTCTCAAAAATTTCATTGCGAACCCAAAATAACAAGAAAACTTAAAATAAAAGAGGGTCTTTTCTGAATTTTTTTTAAAAAAACCAAGTAGCTTTTATTAAAACCTATTGTACATATAATTCCCCCCCCCAGCATTTCTGTTCATTGCTTGTAAAGTTTCTACAGATTATTTTTTTAAAAAACAACAACAACAAAGAGGAACAAGAAGATATACCAATGTTAATAAATGGTTAGTGAGGTGTATAAAATTTTATAGCTGCTGTATACCTGCATTTTGGTTCTCAAGTGTGCAAGAGACATGAATTACTGTAAAAAAAAAAAAACAACCCTCCATATATTTTAGTTGGTTGATGTGGACCCAACATTATTACAAGGTTTGTAGCAATTCAGAAATATGTATTCCATATTACAATGGGTTCATTTTTTTAACACAGAAATCTTAAGGGTTTCAATACATTAGATATAATTAAATTCTTCTAAATTCAGTGGTACAAGGTAATCTTAATTAAAGTCCATAATTAAAATAATGGAATAACTATAATTGGATTGGATTTCTTCTGGTTTTTCCCTTCATTTTCTTCTGATACTTTTTATGTATTATTCTGTGAAGAGTCACAAGCTTCAAGACAAAAATCCCTTTGAAACAAATTAGAATATTTTCTTTTTTTTTTAGTATGAACTGGGGCAACTACTGATATAAGATGGAAATTATATTCATCTGCAAGCTTTGTCATGCTTTCTGATAGCAATCCTTTGAAAAGTTGGCCAACCATTCCTAATACTATTAGACATTAAAGAAATTAAAGGCAACTGTGCCACAATTCTGTCAGTCAAATATTGCCCCCAGTGAAATACCAATTCTGAATTCCTCTAAAATCAGGCGCAGTGTTTGCACTTAGTTCACTAGAGCCAACACTCTTCTAAGACAGTCACCAATATTTAATACATCACAGAATAAAAGGAACTGTTTGTTGCAGTTAAATTCATCAGGAGTGTACACATTTTATGCATATTTTGATTGGACGGATGACTAATTTATCATCATAAAACAAAAGAACTTTTAATATCTGAAGACCGGGGATTCCAATACTGATAGCAACTTGAAAAATATTTGCTGTTTCAAGATGTTTCTGCTCTATACGTGCCCATATGCTGGACCTATAGAACTCCTATGTTCACTCTCTGCCTTGGACTCCAGTGTTTTTGGGTGAGTTACATTAAAAAATATCTGGCTGTTCAGAATGAAAAAGTACAATAATTGTAATATAATTTATGAGGGTACATTTCTAGCAACCTAGTTGAGCCATAGCCTTATCTAGATTTAGATGGAGGAACTTTGGAAACTTCATAAAAAGGAAGATTGTGTGGTCATATGGAAGTGATGAATGAAAGTATATGTACCTGTACATAAATCTTTAGGGGAAAAGAATTTTGCTAATCTTTGGAAACTAAAAATCCCCTTATGGCCACCCTTGTGCCCCTAAGGTGCTAAGAATTTCTGCTATCTAAAAAGGCCAAGCCAGTTAATTCTATAAATATATTGACCCAATTCCTGCTTGACATGATCTGGCTTCATGCTTTTAAGTTATAATTTTCTGTTTTGGGATCTAATGTATACTGGCATTTGGCATTCATTAATTTAAGCTATCTTGTTTTTCATTTGCAAGACATGTCACATAATTATGTATTAAATTGCAGACAGGACAGACAATCTGATTTTTTTGATGGCGGTCTTTTCAACCATCTGTGTTGACTAGGGATTATGGAAGCTGAAATCTAAAAGTTCAAGCTATAAGCCTGTAATAAAATTTTATAATACAAATATAGGAGCTTTCATCTTCATTCCTAAGATGTCCCTAAGGAACCTGTCAGTGGTACTGGCATTTATTTAATCCTTCAACTTCATGACATTTTTCAAATAGCTATGCTTTTTCCTTTGCACTTTGTGAGTAGGGGTGTGCATGCTTGGAAATTAGTAACACCATGTTCCCACAAAGCAGCTATTTTCTGCATGTGCTTTGTTCACTATGACCACGGAGTTGCAGAGTAGAAAAATAAAGCAAAAACATGATGAATGCAGTGACATTTAGGTAAGAGGAATAGAAGCCAAATTAAATTGCTGTGTGACAAAGAAGGAAAAGTAAATTCTGAACCAAACAAAATAAAACGTTCTTTAATTCTTCCTGGACTTGGTGGATAGAATAAGATCAGCTACTTTAGAGCTGGGTAGATTCACATCTTTTATGAGTATTTATATTGTTTATTTACACTGGATAACTCTGTCAAAGTCCACAATTTCCCCTCAAGCTTCTGAAATGTATTTGCCTAGCAATGTTGCATGCAAAGAGAACTTACTAAGGGAGGATATTTTCCTGTACTTTATCACCTAGCATACGACTGTGAGAGAGTATGGAAGATATTTTTAAATGCAGCTTACTGGCTAATTAACACTTGGCTTACAGATGGAAAATTGTTCCTCATGACTCTTCAATATCTGGGCAGCTTATATTTGCTTTCCTTTCTTAATGGAAACAATCATAAGGTGATTTATTTAATAGGGGTCTAAGTAATTGCAGGAAGGAGAAAAGGGATATTGTCAAAGGATTGCTATAAATACCATTTTTTTTACATTGCTGATGGTTGAAGATCAATATGCACCTGTAGTATTATTAAAGTAATTCCTTGGCACAGCTGTATAAACACAGAGGCACTGCTTTGAATATTTTGAAAATGGTTTCCAAATATTTAGGTTTGCAGTATCATTTTTGCATGCATCCCTAGTATTTACAGGGACTATTTTTATGATTATGGTTTGTCCACACAGATATGTCTATAATTTCAGTGTTATAAGATTTCACAATGACTTCACTAGTTTTATGCGTTAAGGGCTAGCTGGAGCATTAAGGAACTACTCTCAGCAGATATTTGTAAGGAAGTATTTATAAAATAGATCTCTTGCACCAGCAAGACTAATTAAGCAAACCACACTGCAAAAAATGAAGACTAATATACACAATTTATATATTTTCTCTTTTCTTTAAAAAAAATCAAACCAAGGTTGATTTTTTTTTACATTTAGCTCAGGAGTGCATTATTCAAAAGACTTCGGTTTGCTAACAGGGATGAACATTGCAGGCTCTTAATTCCTTCTTGTCTTTGCAGCTAGTGAACTGACTGCTTTTGAAACGCTTCTTGACGGTCATAAACCTCTCCTGGATTCCACCCCCACACAGTTTGGTGCATTCTGACCAAGCAGTCCATGGCTTCATTTTACAACCTAAAATAAAAATAACAGAGAAGTAACATAAGAATCACTTTAATGCTTGAATCCCTTGAAATTTCCTTTTTCTTCACAAGTGGTAGTTCTATTGCTACTCCTGTTTTGGAAATGGAAAGATAAGATCTATAAACCACGAGATCTTACAGGTTATTCCAGAGTTATACCAGGATAACGTTTGTACTTGTTGAAAGTTCTAATTGGTTTGAATGATCTAACATTTCCATATGTGGCAGTTCAAAGGTCTGTTTGTGACTCTACTATCTAATAGTCACACACTGGATCATATGAATGGATTATTTTGGAACTTTATGTTGCAGGTTTTCTTTCCATTCTTTTCCTTTCCTCTTTTTTTCTTCCTTTCCTTTCCCTTCTCTTAGGTCTTGACTTCTAGGAAGGAAGGAAGGAAGGAAGGAAGGAAGGAAGGAAGGAAGGAAGGAAGGAAGGAAGGAAGGAAGGAAGGTTATCTATAGTTGTTTAATCATCTAAACCCAAGAATTTATGGAAAATATTCAGATTCCTGGAAAGTAGTTAGGGATCATTGAAGGAAGATGTACTAACAAGAATATAAATTAGTAAAGTACTTCTCTGATGCACAGCTCACTTTCTTAATGGAAGGATTGCTCTGTGAGTTTTACTACACTTACCTGGGAATTGTCCACCATCGACATCTTCTTTCGCTTGTTCACTCCTCCTTTTCTCCCGAGATTCTTTCCAGCGCCTTTTCTCAATATTGGGGTTTCTCAAGCATTTTCTTATTCGGCATTTTTTACGCTGTACAGTTTCTGGGCATGGCGCTCCTCCAAACTGAGGTTCCATTTTGATCATTCTTGTCCTGATCATATGGCCTTTCCCACAAGACTTATTGCATTCAGACCACTGAGACCATTCTGTCAGATCACAGTCAATTGCTAGAGGAGCAAGGATGAAAAATAGGATGCTTAGCCTTAACTTACTTAGGAGGAACAATCTGGTTTAGCAGAAGAATAATTTACTTCTTTTTACTCTCACTAGGAGAAAAAAAATGAACATTTAGGTTGATGATGACACGGAATGAATTTCATATACGCTTACCCTGAAAATACATTAGCAGGACCACCTTCTCACTAAGCTCTGACAGCAGTACATTCATACCGTATTAGAAAGTATCACCCATCAGAAATTAATTCTGGAGCAGATTCATAGGAAGGATGTGGATGGAAAAATGCAGAAGATTGGAGAGGAAAAGGAGTAGAAACGGGAGAGGGGCAAACCTCGATTCCAACGATTGACGGATGGTACTTTTTATAAAAAATATGGTGAAAACATGTGTGAAATGCATTCAATTATTCATCAGAGTTTTACAATCTGGAATGGCACAAATTTAATCATTTTGTATTGCTACTTTAAAACAGATGTTTTTTTAATCATGTTCCTGACTATTTTCCATAGAAACTTCATTGGAGGTAAGAAAAAATGTCTCTATAACAAAGTTATGTTAATATTGCATAACTCATTTTAGCAATGGCAATGAACACTTTCTTAAAATACAGGTCATTTTTTTTCTATATATGTAGTACTTGAAAAAACGTTAGGAATTTGTTTCTGGTGCGCAAATCGTGCTTTACAGTAGCAAAGCAATGCATCATGCTTGTCGACACTTGGCTGTTGTATAGGAAGAGTAATGTACGTAACACATTGTCTGTTGTGTGGAATAGAAGAAATAAAGCCAACTGTAAAATTAATATTCATACTTCAGATATCTATACTTACGACACTCTGGCAGCATGCATTTCTCTACTTGTTCTAGTTCTTCATTGCAATCTCCAAGCTCTGCAGCAGATTTTAGCATCCGTTGCCTGGTCCTCATCCCCTTTCCACAAGTGACACTGCAGTCGCTCCATTCAGACCAAGGAGAAAGCAGGCAGGGAATGGTATCTAGGGCAGGTTGGGATGGGAAAGAGGATGAGATCATTCCATTTCAACAGCAAATCTGCAAGTGATGATCAAACTGGCGAACAAATGATCCATCTACCCAGTCATCAAGACCTGGGGGGGAGGATCTTGGACAACTTGCTATGGACAACTCACCGCTCGTTGTGGCCAACTCACCACTAGACAACTCATTGTGGCAACTCACCCATGGGACAAGAGCTACACTACTACTGAAGAAATGATGGAATAAAATTATTGAAGAAAGGATGGAAAAGGAGGGATAAAGTGAAATGTGAATGACAAAAATCATAATAATTTTTCAATTATTTTAAATATTTAAACTGAATTGTTGAATTGTTCCACTGTGAGTTGTCCCATGGTGAGTTAGTTGTGATGAATTATCTTGTGGCAAACTGGCTGTGGTGAGTTGACCATGGTGAAATGGCCATGACAAGTAGGCAGAAGCGAGTTGTCCAGTGTGAATTGGCCGCAGCAAGTTCTCCCATTTCGCATCAAGGGAAAGGATAGCTATTTGATAATGACTAAAAAGAAACTGGATTGAAATGTGTACTGGTTTTCCAGCATCTAATGATTCCAGTCTGTATTTTGCTGCATCTGAATGATCTACTTTAATAACGAAGTGGATGATTTAAGAACTTCTTCAATCTGGGTTGATCGGAAGTTCTCTAGCTAAACAGACAGGGAGGTGAGCTCTGAAGAGCCTCACATGAACCCTATCTGACAAACCAATTCTGAGATCCTTTTTGGATCAGAACCCCCCTGGAAGGGGGAACGAAGAAGGGGCAGTATCTCATCAGACCCAGAGGGAGGCAACAGGTCCCTCGCAGGTCAGAGATTTGCTTTCTGAATCAGAGTAGGGATGGCAACATGGATGCACAAAAAGCTGGCTTCCAGCCAAAGCAACTGAACAGGAGCAGGCAGGATGAGATGAAAGACTGGCAAGAAGATCTAATTAACCCATAGTCATAAATCAAAACTTGGGAAAGGTAAAGAATCTTGTGAGTATAAATAATATTAATGGACAGATCTGGATTTTGGCAAAAAGAGAGAAAGAAAGAAAAGGAAAAAATGGAGGGTTGAATCACTAGCCCCAAAAAAGCCATTTGCTTGAAACAATTTGGACAGAAAAGGAAAAAGTAGAGAAGTGACAAACCACTCAAATACATACTCTAAATTTGGTTTTGGATTTGATATAGAGGAGATTTGCTTCATCCAAATTTCTTCTGACTAATATATCTTAAGCAACTCCAATTAATGAGAGGTGGAATGTAACAAGGGAAAAAAAATCAAGAAAAAACCACTATTTTCTCACTGATAACTGATAATCTTGCCTGTGTGGAATGATTTAATTAACCAACTGCCATAAGTCAGAATTTGGAAAAGCAGGCGACGAAGAGAAATATACCCAAGTTCGGCTGTATGCAAGTTTGTTCCAATTAATATACTTTGAGCAACTATAACCAATGAGAGGTGGAAGGTAATAAGGGAAAAAATAATAAAATCAAGAACTGGGAAAATACAATTATTTTTTTTTGCAAAAGATCAAGATGGCTCCCGCTTCTCTTCTGCTTCACATTAGCTGAATTAGCTAAATTTAAGGTGGACCAGAACTTGAAATAAGAACTGTATAATTAAGTGTAACTTTGGAACTGGACATTATGGAAAGGTGAGAATTTGAAGAACTATGTGAAATTATAAAAAATATGCATAAATCATTAAAATCAAGTCTAAATAGAATTCTGAACTCAAGAGAAGCAGGAACTGAAGGAAGAAGTGAAGGAAGAAGGAGGAGGGATAATGAAGGGGTAGAAATGGTGTGAAATAAAAAGCAGACAAAAAACTTAATTGGGGTCGACAGTGGTATAGGGAAAATTGAAAATGGGGGATGTGTCCCAACAAAAGGAAATAAAAAGCAGACAAAAAATCTTACAAAGGTTGACAGTGGCATAGGGAAAACTGAAGAAAGGGGTTATGCCCCAACAAAGGGAAATATGAAATATTTCTTTGGGCTTGAGTGTGGCTTGGGGAAAATTGAAAAGGGTAGACATGTCAAAACAAAGAAGACAGGAGTAGAGAAGTGGGACAAAAGACTTACTAGGGAAAAATCAATTAGAAATTGATAGAGAGGGAAATATAAAGCTGATATATGTAGTTTACTCCTAAACATGACAATAAAATTGAGTTACTAACTGAATATGATAATGGAAAGATAATTAAATAAAGGTTAAAATATATGGAATATGGACAAATATGAAACTGATATGGGGAGATTGTAAATCAGAAGTTTGTGATTCACTTTTATACATGATAATTAAACTGAATTGCTAATAGATTGAATATGATAAAGGAAGGACAATTAAGCATGTTATTCTATATAGTAGATTAAGGGAATTGTAATGAACATTGAACAGTAAGGATTGTTATTTAAAGATAATTAAGGGTAACCTAAGCCAAGATATAATAAAATGGAGAGGGAACAAGAAATATACTTACAATGGGAAATTATTGAGATTTAAAGACAGAATCACAAATTTGGGGTATGTAAAGATGCATAATTATATAAATTTCATGATGAGAATAGCTGGGAATTGTAACCAGGTCTACATCTCGGCCAAAAATAGGCTGGGTGGTGGTGGTAGTGGTGGTGGTGGTTAAAAACACAATTACTAAATATGTATACTTTTCCCCCCCACTCTTTTCAAAAAAGAAGGAGGAAGATATATGTTAACATGAAATATATATATTGAAAAGGAATTATAAATACCATCAACATAAAATGGAGCTCGCTCAGAAGCTGAAATACACCAAGTAAATGAGATGAAGAGTGAGAAGTAAAGGAGAGAGATAAGGGAAAAAGAGAGGGATAGAAGAGAGGGCGGAGGGAAGAGGAGGGGAGAAAGAATGAGTGGAAAGGGGAGAGAGGAGAAAGAGAGAAGAAGGGGGAGTAGAGAAGAAAGGATCACATAGGGAAGAAAGGAGGTAGGGAGGAGGAGGAGAGAGGGAGAAGAAAGTGATGTAATGTACAAATATGGTGTATGGAGAGCAGAAAAGCCAATAATTGTTTAATTGTTTTTGGAAGTTGATGGTAAGACGAATTGATGTAAACATTTAATAATATAATGTGATGTTGGCTATGTAATAGTATACATGTGGTTATATGTTATGAGCATATATATAGTTCATATATATATATATATGAACTACTTCAATCTGAGGCTACTATCCTTCACTTCCAGTATTCATAATTTATTCCTAAAAGAGACTGATCTAAGATATTCTTGTTGCAAAATCACTCCATCTCATCAATGCTGGATATCTCTGATTAGATTTCCTGATGTAATCTCCTGGGTTGGATCGGTGGTAAAAGGTTGAACTTAATAAAGCCTTTTCTCTGGTTTAAATGACTCCTGTAGGTACTGTTAATTGCTGTTCAGAGTGAGGAAGTAATATTTGTCATACAAGAAAGATTAGACATAAAAATATTTGCACACATGTAACAATCTTTCTCATCTTGTTAATAGAAATGTCACCTCCCACTGAAACCAGTCCTGAGATTATTTTTTCCCCCATCAAATATATATACTTATAAATGTATATGAATAAGCATACACATATATTAAAAGGCATACGCCCGTGGGTGTCTGAGTGTGGAATTAATGTCTATTGATCAAAATTAATTGCCCGTAGAATAAGACTCTCTTTCTAAAATTAATTGATGTCCTACTAGGATATACGCAGAGACTATTCTGTCTCTTGCAAATTACTTTCCTGCTCATAATATCAATCCAACCAGAGAAAGAAAACTGCAGAAAACTGAGCATAACAAGTGTAAATCTATGCTTCTTCTGTAATAAATCCTATTGAATTCAATGGCTCTTCTTTCCCGTTAAATGTGAACACTACCAATAAACTGAGCACAGATCTTTTCGGTCCTGGTTATTCCTTGTAAATGATGATGGAAGGTAGGAAACAGATCCTTGAAGGATTGAGTTTTCTTTTAGTTTTCAATAAGGAAATGGTGAATGGAAGCCTTTGCGCTGGGCTGAAAACCTAAGGAAACACACAGACATTCATTCTCTAGAAAGTCTCACTGTATTGAATGTATGTTTTCTTATTCAGCTTAATCAGAATGCTCAGCCCAATCCTCCTTCCACTTGCAGATTATGAGCGAGTATTTTCCTCCTTCAATTGTAATTGACTATAGTAGAAACTATGTTCTGTCTAGCACCAAAGACTCTCATTTTCCTGAAACCTCACCCATATGGAAAACATTCATGGATAAAAGAAACTCTCCAGTGTATACATTGTGTATGGTGAGAGGCAGGCATGAAATTTCCTGATGTATTCTCCTGGGTTGGATCAGCAGTAAAGGGTTGACATTAATAAAACCTTTTCCCTGGTTTAAATGACTCCTGTAGGTAACTCTGGTAGTGCAGTAGTTAGAATGCAGTATGGCAGGCAAACTCTGCCCACATCCTGGTGTTTGATCCTGACAGGGCTCAAGCTTTCCATCCTTCCGAGGTAGGTAAAATGAGGACCCATATGATTGGGGGCAATGTGCTGATAAAATTTTCTCATCTTCCCTTCAGGTAACATTTTATTCCTTTCTGTGACTAAATACACAGTTTTGGAGAAAAGGTCTGTAATGAAGGACTTCTTGGAATACATAAATTAATCTCCCTCCTTCAGCATGATGATCTTGATGGAGTTCATGGCCCTGACGCTTGTTTTTAAGAAGAGAAAATGATGGTGAGGGAACTGGCATTTACCTCTGACATTATATGTTTTTTCCCCTCAACATCCAATTATATTTACAACAATAATGTATAAAGATGTTATGTTATGATTTACTCTGCTACAAAAAGCAAATCAGGTTGCAACCATTTTGTGAGTGTGTCTATGTGAATGTATATATGTGTGGTGCAGAGATCAGAAGTGTTTATATGTGTACAAAAAGCAGCATATTTAAATAAAACTGAAAAAAAGACCCAGGAGAGCACTTCTCACTTCTTGCCTTTAAAAACTGCATGGATTATGATATGCTAGAATGTCCTGGCTTCAAATATTTAGACTGACTGCTCCCTCATGTCTTGTGGTCAGTATAATTGTACACTTTTGGTTTGAAATGGCTACTTTGTCACATAAAAGTTTTAGAAGTCTACATTATGAAGAAACCTATTAGAAAGTGTACACATGATGAACTGTGTTACTTGTTGCATGTGTCCTTTGCACATAGCATTGGTTTTTTCCCCCCATAAACACACAATGTGTACACGAGGCAGTTAACATAACCCCTTTTTACCTAGTTGCTCGGTTGACCAGAGTTACTTACGGCATTCGGGATTCATGCATTTCTCAGCTTCTGTGGTTTCTGCTTTGCACATGGATCCATCTGCCGGGGTCATCTTGATCATTCTGTGTCTCTTCTTCATTCCCATCCCACAGCTGGCACTGCATTCATCCCACTCTCCCCATTCGGTTACCAGGCAACTGCTAGGAGCTGTCCATAATATATTAGCCAAGGATCAGTCTGGTGGCACTTATTTAACAGAGGATTTACATTTTGCTTTTAGGCTGATTAAGTGTGGCAGGGTACATCAAATACTTACAACATTCTTCATTTACAATGCATTTCTCGGTTTCTTCTGTAGGCACTTTGCACATGGAGCCATCATCCGGGAACTGCTTCACATATCGCTCCCTCGATCGTATTCCCATGCCACAAGATACACTACAAGGGGACCACGTTATCCACTCAGACATCATGCATGTGGAGCCATCTAAGAAAAGCAACAATGGATGGTTTCCATTTATTCCCAAACCTCACTTACGGTACATTTGATCCACAAAATGTTGATTCTCAGTTCCTGGAGGATGGCTCCATGTTGATTCTCATCTCCAGGGTCTTCTCACCTACCTTCATCACTACAGCCTGGGCCCATACAAGGCTGGAAGTCCTGAGTTTCTGGACAAGGCACACTGAGGTCAAGCTGGGCTTTGAGCATTCTCTGCCTCATCCGCTTGCCCTTTTCACATGTGGAAGAGCTACAGGCTGACCAGGGAGACCAGTTCGAATAGATGCAGGTTTCAGGAGTATCATCTGGAAACAATGACAAACATATGCGTCAGTATGTTTGTGGGAATGCATATATATCTATATCTATATCTATATCTATATCTATATCTATATCTATATCTATATCTATATCTATATCTGTATGTGTATGTGTATGTGTATGTGTATGTGTATGTATGTAGTATGTATGTATGTATGTATGTATGTATGTATGTATGTATGTATGTATGGTGTAAAGAGCACCACACAGTAGAGTTATACATATATCTGCATATGTTATGCAAAGATATACTATCCACATATAACAGGCTGGATCACAAATTAGGTTTTGACCTACTGTTGTCTTTGAACACCTTGTGTTTATTTTGTTTCTCACAACTCTTTTCTTAATGATGCTGTGTTGCTTACCTAAAATCTTTACTTACACTCTTGGAATGCATATGAACATTTTCAGTTCAAATTTATTGACTCTGCTTTAACCCAATTAGGATAATCCTCCCAAACAATTAAACATAGTTTTTTAAAAGATTACTTCTCTACTCAGTATAATTTATCGGATACACTAAGTACTGTACCAGAGACTTTTTGCCTACAGAAGAGGTATTCTACCTAGAAGCCCAACTACCTGTCTCTATCTTTGCCCTTGCCTAGAACAAGTCCCCCTTTTTATGCTCTCTGGTTGACTGCTAGATATATAAATATACTTCTTAACCAACTAAGTTTGAAAGAAAGATTGCAATGGAAAACTAAAAAGTTGTGAGGGATGGTGCTTACAGAGCGGGAGATGGGATTAAAGTGGAGCAGCAGTTTCCAGAAAGAAGGGAGCACATGCCCAGAGCTGGGTAGGAGATAGAAGAAGAGAGTTAGGATAGCCACTCTCTAGAATTGTTGTGGCCTGCCAGTGGCCAATGGAGATGGTGGTAGACTTAGACAGTGAGGAGTTTGGGGAGGAACATGGGCCAGTCCTGGAGTCTGGGGAAGGCTCTGATAAGTGCTCTGCATTGGAGGCAGAGATGGGGCCAGGGCTGTCTGACAGTTATCAGCTGTCTTCGGAATCAGAGATCAGTGGGGCAGAAGAACAGCTGGACCCTATTCCTGACATGCACATGTGCAGAGCTGCCAGGAGAAGAGAACAGTTAAGAAACAAGGCCAACTCAGGAGTAAGGGCAGAGGTGGATGGTGAATGGCCCCTCCCATAGGGAATAAAGAGGAGTAAAAGGAGAGTGGAGTTTGCAGGAGACAAATAGTTTGCTTAATTAGTGTGAAGATTTGTTTGTGACTCTCAGAGACTCCTTGCCAAGTATTTTCTTGTACAGCATTGCATTTGGAAGCTATCAGTCTGGCAGCTCTCCAAGCCTGATAAGGTCTGTGGTTGCAAATTCACCCCTGAAAGACTTTTTTACTGGGACTTTGCTGGATGTGAATGAGGAATTCACATTAGCTTAATAAAAATGGGTTTTGTAGGGACAAGGAGTCTGCTACGTGATTTTGTGAAGCCTAGGTCAGAACATGTGTTGGGTTGAAAGCAATGAGGGTTCAATTTGTCAAGATTCTATCTATTGAGGGTGGAGATTCGTGTTCTGAACTTGTGTGGGTTAGTAGGTCTTGTGACGGGAGGGTCACATCAGGTGAGGGTCTTGTGATGAATCTTATGATGGGTCAAGTCTGGGTCACATTAGGTAAGGGTCTTGTGTTGGGTCTTCATGTCACGTGAGGGTCATTGGGAGATGAAGTACTAGTTGTGGGGGATTGCCTCACCTGACATTGGAGAGGGGGTGACCGTCACCTGAAGTGACCTCTCCATCATAAGACCTTCTGACCCCGCAAAGCCCTTATAAGCAGAAGAACACCAATACTGATGAAGAACACTGATACTGACATCCCCTAAATTCCGCTGAAGACATTACCTAGCCTGTAACAAAATGTTTGGAAAGCTCAGAGAATGAACCTCCACCCTAATCCTATACCTGAGTTACAGGATATTCACCACCGTTGCATTCTGTCTATTGTGTGCAAGCATATAAAGAACTGAACTTTGGGTGGACTGTTCAATGTCATTCTTGAGCTAAGCCGAATAATAAGTAAGAAAGAGGAGCAGTTAGAAAAGGAAAATAGTTTAGCTTGATGAAGATCAATCCAGTACAAGATAATAAAGTACATGAGATTAGTCTTCTGCTAAATTAGGAAATTCCCAAATTTCTGCCTGCTGACACTATCACTGTGGGTGTTTATTAAGTAATGATGCAGACTCCAACCACAAATGGCTAAGCAAATTGTTTTTTCCCCCTCCTGTTTTTAATACCGTCCTAATAATAAGTCAAACAGCATGAAATACAGAGAGCAGCACCGGAAAGGGAAGGGAATAACAAATTCATAAAAGTAGGAGGTCATCATTAAATAAGTACCTTCATCTTCTGGAGCTTCTGCAGCAAGATCTGCAACAATGTCATCAATGCTATCAGGAAGAATATTGCACTGTTCTCCCTGCAAAGAAACATTTGCGAATTGGATTGAATTGGCGGAGGAAATAATACGATGCTGAGCACTGGGCTGGAAAATCAATTGCCAGAAGTTATTCAAACAGCATCTACAAGCGTTCACGCTTATAAAGATCACAGTAGTCATCAGGCCCATGGAAAACACAGATCCTAAAGGAAGTCCCATGAAGATATTGTGCTTCTGATTGCCAGGGGAAGCTGTGTTCCCTTGCAAAACAAGCTAAAAAGCAAACATCATTTTGCTGGGGGGAAAAAAGTGATGGGAGGACTGGGGAGATGAGGAGGAGATAATGTCCCATCTAAAAAGCTGGATGTTGCTAGAAAGCATTGTTAAGTGACCTTGGGCCCCCCATTTATTATCTATAATGCCCAGGGAGCCCTAAAACTCTCCATATACCTGATGAAGGAATATGCTCCAGATTTCTGCTGCAGAAAAGATCTGTCTGTGACACATAGCATCATTATATTATTAACTCGCTAGAAAATGTTCTTACTAAGTAATGAGCTTGATCTTGCTTTACATGGCTTTTTTTTAATGCTTTGCTGCAGAATCTTTTTCAGGCTCAGAGCATTTGATGAAGTACAACCAGTACAGGAACTAAATTTAATTTAATTTCACCTATCCTTAAATGTAATTCAAATGAAATAAAATTAATTTGATTGGTCTTGCTTTTCAGAAGTTCACCTTTGCTATCTTGGCGAATTCCAGTTTGGTAATAACTTCTGCAGCTCGGTGGAACTCCTATCTTGTGCTTCTGAGGGCCTTAAATCTTTGATGGTACTTCTTTGCATTCCTTGCAGTTCAAGTGGAAAAGAGAGGAATTCATTCTAAGGCAGGGATTTCCAACCTTGACAACTTCATGACTTGTGGACTTCAACTTCCAGAATTCCTCAGCCAGCACTGAGGAATTCTGGGAGTTGAAGTCCACGAGTCGTAAAGTTGCCAAGGTTGGACACCCCTGCTCTAAGGAATGAGGTCCCTCACATCTCCACTGACTCAACATGCACAGCCAGTTAACCCCACTCCCTTTATGAAAACCTGTTGAACTACATTTGTCATTTTATTACCAGATTTCAGTTTTCTTGTTATTTAATCCCATTCTATGCTCAAATATTCCATATTCAGTTACTAAGTGAACTTTCATACTAATACCTTTCGCGCAATCCTCTCAATGACAACTCTGGCTACTGATTTAATGGAACCTCCTTCAGGGTCATAAAAAGGACTTTGGGGATGGTCTAGACTTGTGAGCGGTCTTATCTTCTCCTGAGGTAGTGTTGGCTTGTTGGATGACTGCAGTCAAAAAAGAAGCATAGGCAGACATAGAAGAAACACAACAATGAAAAACATAGTACACCAAAAGTGTGCAGGTAAACTTTCATGAACATCATTTGGACCCAGAGTTTAAACACCGCCCCCCACAAGCAGAGAGAGGGTGGGAGGAGGGAGGGAGGGAGAGAGGGAGGAGTTGACAAATAGAAAAAAATGGAATAACTTAAACATGCATGGCTAGTGTAATGCCCAATGATTTCAAGGGGCTTAGATGTAATCCAATGTATATTACGCTGTAATAATTAATGGAATTATATTGATTAATACATTGGTATTAACTTGCTATAAAGAGAAAGCGCTCCCCCCCAAAAAAAGAGAAGTTATATTTCCATTCTCTCTTATTTTTGATGAGTCAATCCTATGGTTTAATTTCTATAGTCAGAGTTTGTGATAATTTTTTCAGCTCAGAAGAATGGTTTCTGTAATGAGTCTCTCTCAACCACTGCATCTCACTGGCACTGCTATATCAATGTATCCATGCAAACATCCAGATAAGACAGTTTGTAGTCACTGCCAATTAACAGAGCTTAGAATCTCATAGCAAAATTCTACAAGGAACTCAGGTGGTATTAGCAATGAAGTTAAATATCATCAGAAAAGAAATCTGGGAAGAAAGGTAATGACTGGCAGCTAAGATGGCTGAAATACACAGCAACTGGCTTTGAACCTGATTCCAGTAAAACCCAATATGGATTGGTAAACTTGATTTGGATTGGATTGGTATGTGACAAGTAGAATATTGCCAAGAAGCCAGTTGTGTCTGATTCTCAGAAATTGCTTGGACAAGTTCCTGTTATTTGCTTGGCAAGATTTTTCAGAAGTGATTAGCTATTACCTCCTTCCTAGGGCTGAGAGAAAGCGACTGGCCTTTGGAGAAAAAGAAAGATTTTTGTTTTCTTGAAACCCTACTTGAAGAGGTAAGGAGGTGGCGATGGTACTAGTGTGGATTTACCAATTTTGATGGGTGACTAATTTAGAGAGGCCCAAAGCCAGAGAAGTAAAACTGCTTGACCTTTCTGATAAAGCTTGGCTGAAATTGCTTCATGTTGCTTTTTAAGTGAATAAAAGAATTTAAAAAAACAGCTCTATAGTATGTCCCTGCCTTTAAAATTGGATCTCCTGAACCAAGCACATATCCCATCACAGCTTTATTCCTGCTTCAGTAGATATCCAAGCTAAAAAAAGAAATATTCTTCAAAATTGAAGAGGTTTTTTTTTTTTTGAGAGGATTTTTTTTTTATCTAGGGGAAAGTAGAAGTGCATGACTAATTTTGTTAAGCTTGGATGAGAAATTCCTGAGAAATTCCAAGATATCCCAGGAAAAGGTAGTGGCAAACTTCTGTACTATTACTTCTAAAATTCTATGGATGTGTCTATGAAGTCACTGAAAGATAAACCAAACTCATGGGAGACTTTACTTTTAACTTAAAGGTAAATAAAAATTCAGGCAACATTCCTATGCCATTATACTATCTAATAAGCTAAAACAAAACATCCATATTTAAATGTGTCACTTATAATAAAATAATATAAATGAAAAAGAAATGTGTTCAGGTCTAGTTCCCATTTTAGAGGCTGACACAGTCATTAGATGAATATTCTTCTCCAGATATCAATTACTTACATATGATGAAAAGATATAATTAGCCTGTGAATAAATGAAATATATTAATTTTATTTTCAAGTCTACTAACCCTATCCAGGAGGCAATAAAATGCAAATACATCATATTACAGAAAACCAACCAACCAGCAAACAAAAGACCCAATGAAAATAATGCAGTAGCACTTATGTCTGATCAACAAGAAAAAAGACTATAATAGAAGCTATTGGAATCACCTTGATCGGTCTTACTTTAGAATCACAACAAATGAAGATAAAACAACCAAATTCTCTAAAGCCGTTGCATCTTTTTCTTCAATTGTGAAAAAACCCTGCATACCCAAGCTCTGAATATGAATACATCCTAAGAAATTTTTAAAAAAGTCCCTACCTATATAGCACAGAGAAAAATACACAAGTGTATTCAAATATTCACTTAATGTATTGATTTCTCATTAATTGCTTTCATACTTATACAGGAAAATAAACATTTATACAAAACCGAATATCACAAAAGTCTTTGTACTGAAATCGCAGCTTCTACCTCTGATTTTTGTATTCATAAGCAATTTCCAACTTAGTCAATGATTTTAAGTTGAATGATTGAAAGACCCCCCCCCCAAAAAAAAACCCTTCTCATGCTGTGCTTGTATTTATTACCATTTTGCTTATTCTAGCTTTCAGTTTGAAAATAAAGAAATAAAGTTCAAATGGAGTGACAAGGGGCTTTCATTTGTTAAGCCAACTTCAGCTTCTTCTCTCGGGATTTTGTTTCCCTTCATAGATAGGAGGAACAAGAAGGCTTGTTATGAATGATGCACATTTTCAATGTGTTACTACCCTTGTATCGCACGGAAACCTGCACAAGTACTTACTATATGTTTCATCTTTGTTCAGGAATTCCAGGTATGTACATACATTATCTACTGTACCTTACTCCTTGCCCATTATGTTTCATTTTTCATCTGTCGAGCGGTCTTATAAAAAAGTGTTTCTTCAATGTATCTTACATCAATTCTCCCTCCCCTCATTAATGCTACTAAGGCAGCAAACAGATCAGCGGTGGGTTCCGGATCCCGTTTCAATCGGTATGGTTGGAATGGGCCCGGTGTTGTCTACATGGATGCGTGCAGCGTGCACACATGCATCTTACCATCCAACAATGCCTCCGCGAGCCTCCACAATGCTCCAGCTGCTCGGCAAAGCATCGTGCAGGTGCTATAAGTGTGTGCACGGAAGCGCCGAAGACTTTAAAGACAGGTAAGGAGTGCGGGCAGGTGGGTAGGCCCTCCAGAGCACTGTACTGGAACAGTACCCTGTGCTCTGGGAAGGTTCCGGTACGCCCATACCGGGGCGTACAACCTGCAACCCACCACTGAAACAGATGCTGTGGAGGTATCACCTGCAATTTGTCCCTATGGCTAAATGAATGACTAGTGTATTGGTTTGTTAAAGTGTAGGAACTTCACTTTCAAGTCCAGGTCATTTGGCTTTGGAGCAGTTGACTGCTAGTGGATTCTGTACTGTCAGAATTTAATTTCAGCTGCATATCTGTGATGTAGTGAGGAGGTGGATTCCTAGGAGGAAGGGGTTGCATTCCAGAGGAGTAAAAGGCAATTCAGCCCAAATATGACTGTGTGAGAGACAGAGAGTGAAGACAGCCCCTCCTTAATAGTTGACAGAGTATATTGTAATGTAGATGAAGAAAGTAGGGTCTTCAGCCTGGTAAGTCTTTGTCTATAGGTATGAAACAATAAAGAACTCAGAATAATTATCATGTATTATTCTTGGTTTTGGGCCTGACACAGCTGAATGTTTAATGTTCTTCAGTGATTGGTAGCATTTTTATCTATTTCTTCAATTATTTAAAAAGTGTGTTATTGCAAGTGCTTATTTAATTTATAAGCCTCTTTAACATAGACCAATTCTGTAAATTCACAGGGGACTATTAAATGCTAATCAATCATAAATTAAGAGAAACTAGGAAATATAATTAGTATACTTTTAGTTCTATGGATGCCCTGCTGCAAAGAAACGTATCCCAGAGGATCAGGTCAGGAAACTCAGTCATAATATCTTTCTTTTACTTGAAGTTGTCACTACAAGAAAATCCTTTTCTTCTGGTCAAAAAGTTTCAGAAGCCACTACACTTGTATAGTGTATGGCATGGTATGGGAAGGAAAGGCAAGAAAAAGCTTTTGTTTATTCATTTTTAATTGAGTTTCTGAATTTATTCATCCTCATTATTTTTGACCAAGACACCGTTTTCAAAGCTTAACAACAAATGTTATTATAGTTAACAAGCAATCGTAATCTCAGTTTCCACTGACACTTAATACCGACTGAGAGAGGAAGTAAATAATATATTATAGGACCTTAAATTGAGAACTGTTATTTAAAGTAAGACGTGACTTGATACTACATAGTAAACTCTGAGATTTTAAAAAAATGAAGCAGCGAGAGTGGGAAAAATCCCTCAAATAACAACCAGGAGAAATGCAATAACACACTTGAGAACAATAATTTTGCTAAATAGCAGAAAATGATGGTAGTCAGGAAGTTTGATAAGGTCACACAGAGCAATACAATGAGAACAGTAAGATATCAACCTTCCTGTTGTGAACCACAGAAATCTCTGCATTGTTCCAAAGAAACTTGGAGAAGAAAATGGCATATGGCACTGGTTATCTCAGCATGAATGTTCATAAATTGGAAGAAATTATTTTCAGTCTATGCTCATCAGATGGCCTTCAGAATGGCTGGCTTTTGCCAACTGAACATTACAATCATATTTGTTTGAACATCTTCCCTTATGCTCTAACAGCTGAAAAAAGTTTCTCATTTGGCTAGTTAAAAAAGATAAAGGGGGAAATAATTATTTTATTGTGAGTGGGACACTACAAATGCTTTATATATATAAATATATATAAAATTATATATACATATATATAAAATTTCCCATTCATATCTGAAATATCTCGTGTCCATGGTGAAGAATATTTTTGTTTTTAACTATGTTTTTTTATATCGATTGTTATTAGCTGCCTAGAATCATAGCATGACATTATGTCAGCAATCTTCTTCCCTCCTTTTGTGTTCCCCCCCCCAAAAAAACCCACTGCTTCCTCTGTCTGGACAATACAATAGAGGACAAACTCCAGATATCCTAGCTTGATTTGTTTTGCTACAATACAGATAACTTTTTGTTTTCAGAAATTCTCCCAAACAAGCCCAAAGGAGAAGATACGGTTTTGAGAGTTCAGTTCAGCAAAGCATAACTCTATTTGCAACACTTTCAAATAAATTTGGTCAATAAATACACTGAATTGCTTGAATTTTCAATCTCATTCGCCAAACAT